CTGCATGTCCGGAGCCCTCAAAGTAGGATCTCTCAAACCAAAACATCATAGATCATCATAAGTTAAATCCATAATTTAATCGTTTGGGCAGGGGCTCCTATACATTCTTGCTTCAGCTCACTACTCACTGCGCAGTGACCATTCTCAGATGCAAGACTTGAACTTGCTTTTCCAGGGTGTGAAGCACCGTGCTGCAGGACATCAATGATTACTTGCAGGGTCGAGTTCGAAATATACTCCCAGTTCAGGTGAAAGCCGTTGCTCAGATTGATGGATCAGTCAAAGCCAAGAGTGGTAGGTGGTTAAGAGTCTCAATGGCGGAAGCAGATTTGCTTAGATGGTCTTTGGGACAAGCGGACTTGTTAGGATTTTCAGCTAATATGTCAGAAGACATGTGTCACCGTGTCCTGCTGGGCTTTGCGTTGCTTTGCAGTCATCGTGTCCTGAGGTTTACACCTATGATGAGTGGATGATCCGACTTGGCAAGATTCAAGCTAGCATCGGCTTGCAGTCACCTGGCATGGCCTGGCATTGTGGCATGCTCGTGCCTTCAAGTGTTATTTTAAAAAAGACTCTCATTGCACAGAGAATGTTTTCATGCTTAAAGTCAACGTAGTGCTCGGTGCCAAAAGTCAAAGAATAAAAAGTCACAGTCAAATCAAAAAGTTTCAGAAAGTCAACAAATGTCAATTGGCCCAGATCCGACTTTCTTTGACGTTTATTTGACTTGTTTTGAATGTTTACGACGTTTTTGATGTTCTTTTTGACGTTTTTTGATTTTTTTGAGTCGTTTTGATTTTTTGTTTCGATGTTTGATTTTTGGAGCTGTTTTCTAATTATTGTACTTTTTGTTGGACCTTTTCGAGTTGTTTTCTAGTTTTGACGTGTTTTTGACTTTTTTGACTTTTCAACTTGATTGTTTTTTGACTTTGACTTTTCCATTTGACATGTTTTGCCTTGTTTGTTTTTTTTTCAAGGGATCCTGGACTTACCATATGAACATATTTTTTAAGATTCAAGTGCCTTAGGTTTTCTTTGAATCATTCTGAATTCTTACCAAGTATGCCTTGCAATTTGTGCTTTCTGGTTGTAGATCCATTGAACTGTCACCAGCTCACGATGCTCTTGGCACGCCGAAAAGAGGGTTATCTTGTGCTGAGGATGCATATGTTCATGGATGCTTTGTCTTTCTTGGAGGGCAATGCCGGAAGCCTGGTCATTGCGAATCGTGCTTCAAGAAATCCTAAGCCCACGGAAAGCAGATATGGGCAAATGTGTTTATATAGCAAAGGAACCTAATAGCAGTGGCCTCCAACCTACTAGCGATGGCCTCCAACTTTTTTGATTTGAATTTTAGGAAAGTATGACATCAATGTTCGCTTGAAGAACCGATCATAATTGAGGTCGAGAACCACAAACTACGTGAGGACATGCCCAGGACTTCAAGACATGCTGTACGCAGCTTCAAAACGCAGCTCCTGGTAGGGCACCGGTCGAAACCCGTCAAAGACTCCAAAGGATCACAGGATATCACGGGTGGGCGAGCATTCCAAGTTAGACATGCTTGGTATAGGAGTGTGGTCATTTCACTGAATTAATATTGGGAAGATCTTGGAAGATTCCCACGGTTCTTGCAGAAGTGGCAGGACAGCTGCAACCTTGCTGAACTCCACAGAGCAGCTTGCAAGCTGCAAGACAAGGCTCTGCGGTCGGGGGTGATCGATGGCCATCACAACACCTTTTGTCTTAAATGTGTGCTTTGATCACGGTTTTTGGTTGACAGCAACAGTTCCTGCTCATGAATCGTCATCATGAACCTGCACAATTTGTGAGCTACGAGGCCACCAAGCCTTGCTTGTCGGCCTGTGATTCTCGCTCTGTGAGCATTTTCTTGCTGTCTTTTTGTTGATTGAAGCTTTGCTGCTTTACTTTTAAGCTTTCAAGGGATGTAAAGCTTTGCACGGAATTAAGTCAAGTCCGTTTCTCCACACTGACATGAACATGACTCGAGGTTTCATAAGGAACTAGTGGTTCAATCTGGTTCAAAGAGAAGATGTGGAGTTCTGATAAGTTCTGTTCATGTCTTTTACACAGGATGTTCTACTTCATTGGCCGTGAACTCTTTGGTCCTTTGCATTTTTAGAGCAAGGGCATGGTTGGGTGCCTCCATCTGAGCATTCGTTGAACACATTGCACTGCTGGGCTACAATCCGATGTTGGAAGAGTATGGGGGAACAGGTTGGCGTCACGTGAGATCGTCAGCCCTTGAGATGGTAGGCTTGGCCAGAAGTTCCTGAGAAGTCTATCGCTTCGGAGAAGCGGAGGGCATGATTGAGTGATGAATAATTCTTGAACTTCCCAGCGGCGTGGCCAGACAGCCTTGCAAGTACTTTGCAAGTTAAATTTGTGTGAGGGTAGGAAAAGCTCCTTGTTGAACCAATGAATTGATTGAGCAACGCAGAACAGACATGTACGCTTATTTTACCTGGACTAGTATAAACACACCCTTTATGCATATGTTTCTCGGTCATCCTGCTGGCTTAAATTGAGTTTTTCAAGCTTTGGCATCTGTTCAGACATGGTGTCTCATAGCCTTGACTGCTGCATCATACTCGATTTGCATCCAAACAGATCCTAGGTCCTAGACGTATATAACGAATTTGCAACCAACATTTTTTGGTGGAAAGTGCATGGACGGTCGAGGCATGGACGGTTTTCCTGCGGTCTTGCAGATCCAAGGGGATCAAACTTGGCCACAGCTGCCAACAGCCGGCGACCTTGGCGCCAACCAACGAGCTGAAACAGAAATCTTTACACAGAAATGGTACAGTTTGTGTTTGCGGTCTTTACTTTCCCGTGTGTTTGGAAAACCACGGGAGCTACCGCCGTGCCGCTACTCTCAAAGTTCGGCCTAACTCTTTACCAAACTAAGTTTTGGAGATGTTCGTTTGCATTTGTCCTTTGCCGAATGCCGTCGGAACCTCACGAGAGCACCAAAAGCATGAGAAGAATAGACCTACTGAGAACCAAATTACTGGACCAGCAGTTGACTTATTGTTAATATCGAGGAGATCAGAGTAGATGGGCAACTCAGGTGCAAGCAGACGGTGGCAGGACTAATGTCAAGTGTTTAAAGCGCAGGCTTTCTGGAGAATTTCCACCGGGTGTTGACAGGCTTGGATTGGCAAGGAAATCATTTGCTTAGAACAAGGACAGTGAAAGTTCGGATATTGGCAGAGCCATGGGGCAGAGTTTCCTAGCAGGGCATGCACTATTTTGGGACAATGGGCTATGGCCTTGATCACACGCGTCATGTCGTTTGATTGATCTTCCAATGTGCTGTTCATGCTCGGTTACGAGCCTTGGCGAGAGAAGCCTCAACCTTTCAAGGGTTCACATGAGCGCAGCATGCCTCGGGGCAAGCTGTGAACAAAACACTGGCAACATTTTGCGCAAAAAGGAGCAACAGAGAATGGAGTATTGGTTTATTGGTTGACCAAATGTCTACAACGCGATCCAGAGACAGAGAGAGGAGTGTGAGTTTAATTCTGCCAGCTTCCAGACCACAGCATTACCTCCATAGATAGTGCACAACCACAGTGCCTTTGGGCACCCAGATGTTTCTACTGATGAGCTACCTCTTTGGGAAAACTTCTACATACCCATACCCCATACATACATGCCTCCGACATAGTGGGAGTAAACGAATAAACTATGTTGTTGTCCATACTTCACTTGAAAATGTGTATGTGTATGTAAAATACATAGTTATTACATGTTATTACGAAAGCCAGCCGATAGGCTAGGCTTGAGCTCTTAAAGCGAACGAAGTGAGTTAAGGGGGTGTGGGGGTGGGAGGGCGCGAAAAAGGCACCTTTTGAGATTTTGAGAGGGTGAACCCCGAGCTTGCTCCAAAGCGAGGGTCAGAAAAGCAGTGAAAATGGGGTCTGGTGATGCGAGTGATGCAATGGACGCCGAGTAGTGCATCATTAGCATCATGAAGGGGTCTGGAAGTCCTGAGCAGGGCATAGGGACAGTGTAGCTCTGATCATACCAAGAAGGACCAAGCAACAAAGAGTGAACGCTCTGGGAGCGAACGATGTGAGCATGTCCAGTTGGGCGAGGTAGAGGCTTGGGTTTTTCGAGCGCCGCAAGAGGAGAAGCAAGAAAGCTGTAGGCGTTCAACACTTCATGCTGTGCTCCGATCTTGATCTCAGTCGCAGTGACACCGGCTCCACGAAACTAAAGCTTTCAACTATAGGTGCTCTGCTGCTCTGCTATTTTTTCCTCCCAGCCCTGCTCTCTATAGGGCTTCGCAGTGATGCACGACACATTTCAACACAAGAACAAGAACCATTTCGGGCATCATTCTCCTGGTGTTCACTGACGTTTACACTCTGTAAAACTTACCAGGCACCTGTGAGGTTTTACTTTATTTTTATTACAGGTTAGTGATTGTTGCAAGGCACACTGACAGGTGCCAGGTTAGGGAGAAAATGAGCGAGTGGCCGGGATGCAAACGGAAATGAAGCACCCAGGTGCTTCATCTTTTTTGATGTCGCGCTGCATCGTTTTCTGGGTTTTTGTTGCCCAGGGTGTTCCTGGGATGAGATGTGATATAAGCCAAAGGCTGTTTTGACGGAGGGTTCATGGAATTCCGCTTTCAATTTTTTCTCCTCAAGTAACAAGCTGTGTAGATATTCCCTTTTGATGGTGCAGTGGGGCGAACTGGCTCTGGCTGGAGCAAGAGCTGGAGCATTGTCGGGACTTGGCGAGCAAGAGCGTCGTGTGTGAGAAGGCTTTGGGGCAGTTTGCGGGTGAAAGCCTGGTGAGTTTGCTGATTAGCTTTTTCGTGGGCCTGATCGCTGGTTGCTGCTTGGTCTTGTTCGTGCCTTTTGTGCCGGAAAAAAGTCACAGAAACGCTTTGGTTAGAGGCGAGCCAAATAGTTTTGTTTTGGACCCCCCACGTTCGAAGAAGAAAATAGACGTCTCAGAAAGGGATGTCCCTAGCCGACAAGCACTGGCTGCCGCGAGAATGCGTGCTCGTAAGATTTCATCGGGACCCCGATCTTCTTCACTGGAGAGGGATTCTGATGTCGCCTGACAGAGATGTCGAGACCACGGTGTTAGAGGTTGGCGGGACCTACACAGAGGTCAGGGCCACCGAGGAGAGGAGGCTGCCAAGAGGAGTGAGGGAGGATGACACCTACCTTCCCCGTCATTCCGACAAAGGTGAGTTCAGCCGGGAAGAATGGAAGCGCTTGATCCTCATCCAAGAGCGGGCTGCGGAGGCAAGGCTGCAGAGGAGGAGGGTCGAAGGCAAGGTAGACGGGGAGAGGAAAGTCTCCGCCCTTAGGCAGAGGATGGCTGAGGCTTCAGGAGGAGAAGCTGAGGAGGAGACAGAGGAGAGTGTGTGGTTGGTCATCTATCGCTCCGGCAGCGGAGACCTTGGTGCAGAGTGCGAGCCCCCTGAGGATGCTCATGAGAATGTGGTCAATGGCAAGTCCTTCACGCTCTTCTCAAGAGGAGGTGAGGAGTTTCTTTCACGCAAGGTTCCACTGAAGCAGGTGGCCGACATGAAGAAGCTCTTCGAAGGAAGGTCAAAAGCAGAGGAGTCCGACAGAGATGTGAGGATCCTAGCGCTGGTGTTCGACGCCGCTGAGGAGCGGTATCGCACCCTGCAGGAAGCGGTGCCCGAATATGATGAGATCAAGTACGGTGATTATCCCCTGCAGGGGCCACGGACCATGTTCAGAGACGTGAAGCAGCTGCGTCGCACAGGACAAGACTTCGTGATACACCACGAGGCATGGGTCAAGAAGTCAGGAGTTTGAGCGTCTGACCGGTCTGTTTATGAGCGCAGCTCAATTTGCAGGGCGTTGCATTTGATGATGGTCTACGACCAGCTCAATTTGCCAGGGCTTGCGCCCGCCGAGGCGCTGAACCGCAGGCGTGCCCTCATCGAGCACGCTCACTCCGGAAGACCGGACACCCCCAGTTATGAGGGAGCAGAGGACTTCATGGGCATCAAAGACACTGCAGATGGATCGTTGGTAGACCCGGCCCTGCTGCAATTTACAGCAAAGCGGCAGGCGGCCAAAGCAGAGATCATGAAGCAGAGTCGACTTGCTGCCGAAGAAAGGAAGGCCGCCCACAAGAAGGGCGATGGCAAGGGTGACAAAGACAAGGAGTCAAGAGGGGCCCTGGAAACCCCTACGTACAGTCGGGCCCGTGCCCATGGGCCGGGGCAAGGGCCTGAGACTTTTTTGGGCGCCAAGCAATTTTCCAAAGAGCCTCTCGGGCATCACGGTGACATTTTTCCCATGCCGTTGCCCATGGACCGGGGCTTCCCGGGAAGTGAGACGAGTCTTAGTTCGAGGAGGTCAAGGCAGAGGGTTCATCGGAGGAGGGTGCTTCTCGAAAGAGAGATCGGAACAGTCAGAGCCCTCGACGTGATGGCAGGTTTTGAGGATGAGCAGAGATGGCCGACGAATCCCCTCAGCCAGGTTCAGGAGGCAGTTTTGAGGAGGGTCCACCGGGCCCAATAACAGAGGCCTGCTCCTGTGGACCAGTCATTGGGGGCTGGGAGTTTGCCTTCCTATGTCCCAGAGAAGTTGTCGCTACCAAGAGGCCAGGGAAAACCCGTTGACCTCAGAACAATTCTCCCACCGAGGGAGAAGTGGCAGCTGGAAAACTTCGAGACCGAAATGCTGCTGAGTCCAGAAGAGATGGTTGGGAACAAGAAAAAGTTTTTTTTTCAACGACTGTTATTTAGATCCACAACTTCGCTTCAACAGTGACGTGTACCACAAGTTTATAGCGAATCTGGAGCTGAGCAGGTTGTTGGACTACACCGCCACCCCCCGGGTTCAGATTGGAGCGTTCATGGTATAAACAAGAAGAACAACAAGCAGAGGTTAGTGATAGATGCAAGAAGAGCGAACCGCTTGTTTCGAAGTCCCCCAACTACGGTTCTGGGATCGGTTGAAGCGTGGTCTAGGTTGGAGGTTCAAGAGCAGAAAGATATTTTTTGGCACAAGAGGACGTGAAAGATTTTTTCTACCGCTTGGCCATCAGCAGAGATCTTAGTGAGTTCTTTTGCCTTCCTGCAGTCGACCCGCAAAAGCTAAAAGGGGTTCTGGGTTATCTACCTCCTGGACTTCAAGAATAAGAACGTTCTGTGGGTCCCTTTTTGCCAATGATGGCAGTTCTCCCTATGGGTTTCATTTAGCGCATCAAGCACATGCCGAGCTGGCGCGAAGGAGCTTGCCAGAAGCTGGACACCTTCGCGACAGACATCCAGCACCACGGATCGGGGCTGGACCTGGGCACGTGGAACGTGCCATGTTGATTTATGCGGATAACAACAACCATCTGGGTTTTAGCGGGCCTAGGGTTCATGAGGTGCAGAAAGTCATGATGGATGCTTTGCATAGCCACGGCCTTGACACACACGACATCCAAGAAAGTGCAACCCTGGCGGAATCGTTGGGAGTACGCATAGATGGTTTGGGTGGGCGTGTTGGACCCACGCCGGCAAGGGACTGGCGACTTGACAGAGCACTATGGGCTTTGACAACCAGACCAGTCATTTCTGGTGAGCAATTGCAAGTGATCATAGGTCATATGACTGTTCGGGCTTTGTTGCACAGGGGGCTCATGGGCATCCTTCGACACGCCTATGTGTTTATAGATGAATGCTACAGCGCAAGGACGAGGTTGTGGCCTAGCGTTGCAAAGGAGCTGAGCTTGTTTCGAAACCTCATGCCCCTGGCAACAGGCGACATCAAATCCCCTTGGGACACCCGAGTCATGTGCACTGACGCGAGCCTTTCAGGTTCTGCGGTGCTGGAGACTCAGCTGTCTTCTATGGAAGCCTCCTCCATCGGGCGCTGGGATGAGCGCTGGCGCTTCAGACGTGAGGACGGAGCGCAGGTGGCGCCGAGGGAAGTGGCTTTGGACTCAAGTATGGTTTTTGAAGATGTCTCCACTGTCCTCCCCCTAGTGGATGGTGAAGTGTTTGGAGACCTTGAGGTCGATGTGAATTTTCCGGACGCGCCCCCATATTTTTTGCAACAAGATAGATGGCATCTACTGTGGAACGCACCCATACTCTAGAAAGAGCCGATACATCTCATTGAGGCTAGGAGGATTTTGGAGGCGCTTCGACATGCTTGCAAAGATAGGTATAGGCACGGTCATAGGCTTGTGATTTTCAATGACAACATGGGCACAGTGTTGGCAATTCAGAAGGGAAGGTGTCGCAACTATTCGTTGTTGCGCATCATTCGTCGCTGCGCCGCCTACTCTCTGGCTGCAGGGATCAGGTGCAGCGTTAGGTGGGTCCCCTCTGAGAGGAATGTTGCTGACAAAGACAGTCGTTGCTGGGAAGAAGAGAGGGCAGCGGCCAATAGCAGCAGAGAGCGGAAAGGGTGCGAAACGAAAGGTAGAAGTTTTCAGCCGTGCCGAAGTGAAGAAGGCCAACGACAGGTTGACGAGCCCGGCGCGGGCGGACAAGGCCTGGAGGGAGCGCAGCCGGTCGAGGTCTGTTTTGAGGAGCAGAGAGAAGGCAAGGCCCCTTTAGAAAAGGGTTTGCGAATGATGCTCAAGGCATCAAAGTCCAAAATAGAGAGAGCGAGGCAAAGACAGAGAAAGTATGGCAAGAAGCTGAGAGCCAGCAGAGGAGAGATGAGCTTGTTGGAAATGAACAGTGTGAAGGAGCCGACCAGAAAAGATTACTCGAGGAGGCTAGACGAGTTTTACGACTTCGTGGTCATCAACCACATCCCAGTCGACACAGAAGAGGAACTGGACACAGCTCTGTGCGAATACGCAGACCACATGTTTCTCAATGGCGAAAGCAGCAGTGCAGGCCAAGCTTTGAGGCTCTGGAGTTCTTCAGACCCGAGGCAGCAAGGGCGGGGGAACTAAGGCTTCCGCACTTCAAGAAGGCAATGAAGGGATGGAGGCGGCTGGCTCCGACGCAGACGCGAATGCCGATGGTGGAGTTTGCAAAAACCTGCATCAGCGGATTGATGATGAGTCAAGGCTGGCACGAGATGGCTCTTTACAACGAGGTCACCTACTCAACCTACGCCCGCCCGGGCGAGATGCTCAGGGTGATGGCAGTGGATGTGGCGCCCAAGAACAGCCAGTTCAACCACCATGTCATCGTCCTCAGCCCCTTCGAGCGAGGAGTCAGCAGCAAGACAGGCATCTTCGACGAAGTGTTGGTAATGGACGATGTGAGGATGCCGCAGCTAGGAGACCTGCTCGTGGAATGGGCAAGAAGGAGGATGAACAAAGAAGGAGAGGAGGCCAAGCGCTGGAGTTTCAATCTGCAGCCCTTTGGAGAGATGATTCGGAGAGACTTTCCAAAATGGTTCCGAGGTGGCTCCTTCCCAGTGCCAGCTCAGCTTCAACGGAGGCTGGGCGACCATTTCAAGATTTAGCATTTTTGTCCCTTTTTGGTGGAGTTGGCAAGTCTGGAAGCATTTTGGTGGCACCAGTGCGGTTTTTGACCTGAGTGATTCTCCCAGCAATGATCTGAGCAAGCATTCTGCCCGGAACATGATTGAAAAGAACTTGCGCCATTTTGCGGTCGTGGGCATAGGCATAGACCTCCCATGCAACACTTGGAGCAGAGCGCACTGCGCTCCTTGGTGGTCAAAGCTGCCGAAGCCGTTGCGTAAACCTGGCCAGTTTGTCATGGGACTGCCTGAGCTGAATGGCGTAGATTTTCTAAAAAATTCGCAAGGCCAATGTGATGTTTAGACTTAGAGTGATTCGCAGTGAGAATTAATGTTGCTGGATATTTGGAAAACCCTGCCAACTCCATACTTTGGGACACTCCAGAAATACAACGTTTGCTACAGGACTCGAGAGTTCACTTGTGTACAGCTGACATGCGCATGTACGGAACAGCTTGGAAGAAACCCAGAAAGATCCTTTTTTGGAATGTAGCTGCGCCGATTTTTCAACGATGCCAAGGGCATGGAAAATGCCAACGCACCGGCAAAGCGCATTTGCAGTTGTCAGGAATCAGTGGCAAGAAATTTGTCACTGAGCAAGCACAAGTGTACTCACACCAGTTCTCGACACATTTGATGCTGACTTTTTTACAACACCCAAACCACTCCCACCCGTGAGCCATACAGCCCTATGGGTAAGGGATGTGGGTGAATCTTAGAAGTTGGAAAGCATGAAACTTTGAAGTTTGAAAGCTGACGATGAGATCGTCAGATGTAGATGAAACTTTGAAGTTGCAAAGCTGACGATGGGATCGTCAGAGTGGCATGTTTCGCACAGCGACTCATGCAACCGACATAGAGCCGCTTCAGATTCCTTTTACACAGAATGATGCGAGACTTCGCACACTGCTCTGGAAAATGAGCCTGGAGTCGAAAATATGTTTGGCCAGGCAAGACTTGACAGCTCAAACTGGTTTGGTGTGTTCGGTAGCCATGGCAGCCACGCCTGCTAAGCGGAGGATGGCAGAGGAGCAACCGGTTCAGGAGCTCTGGCTTTCTTACTGAGACTTTGTGAGAAGGTGCCAAGGGTTTGCTGTGTTAGGTGGGCGTTAGAGAACGCAGTGACCATGATGGATCCAACACAAGACAGGAGCAAAAAGAGGCAGAGCTAGGGGCTCTGCAGACAATGGAAAAAGAGCCGTCAAGTGTCTCTTTGATGAACTGGAGGAAATCTAATTGGATGTCAGTTAATACGATGCAGTCAACGGTTTACCGCAAGTGCAAATATTCTTGCTCTCCAAGGAACGACTGATATTATTGTTTTACTTTTTTACTGTCTTCTAACTTGGCACTCTGTGTTGTTGGCTTCAATGGACGTGCAAAGGCGGCACCATCCGTGAGGGGAACGGAGAAAAAGAATGAAAGGTCGTATTGCGTGCCAAGTTAGCTTCCTGTGCAAAGTCATATCAAACCATCAACAACCCTAACAAAGCACCTTGATGCAAACCACGTGGTGCCTCAAAATCCCAGCATTTCTAGGAAATATTAGGTTCAGATCAGCCAGGTTCACAGTGCACACTTGTGCCATGTTAGCCAAGATGGTTTTGTCCTACAAAAATTGCCACATAATCTAATCCTTAGGAAGTCTCCGGTGTAAGTGGGTCAGGTTAGCGAGCATGTCTGTAGCATGAGGTGCTCCGTTATTTAGGGAGAGTATTTTGCACGGATTCTCAAATAGAACGCCAACAAGGGACGCTCCAGGAGGCGCCGCGCCAAGCAAATCAAGAATACTAAAAGACTAAAAACATCTAAAAACATTCAACCCTTCATGCTGTGCTCCGATCTTCATCTACGTCGCAGTGATACCAGCTCCACGAAAACTACAACCACTCAAGAATGAGTGCTCTCCTCTTTTTTTCTCCCAGCCCTGCTCTTTACAGGGCTTCGCATTGATGCACGATGCCCGAAACACATTTCAAAACAACCAAAGCCACCTTTAGGGCATCCTTCTCCTGGTCTTCACTGACGTACGGAGAGGGCCGTTATAAGTTATAACTTAAGTTAAACTGAAGTTTAACTTAAGTTGCTGAACGTATACGTTCGCCGCAACTTCCACGCTATGCGGATGACTTCAACGTAACTTCCACTTAGCAAGCTCGCCATAGTTACACGGAAGTTAGGTGAACTTATGTTGAAGTTATGCTCCGAAAAAAACAACGTTTTTTTAAATAACTAAATTTTCTTGCAAATGACACATGCTGCAGTGAGATTTTTGGCTCAGAACGTACACCTACGCGCACAGCTACAGAGCGACAACAGCATAGTTTTCACCTTCTGAAACGACATATATACACCAGATTTGGCGAAAGGAAAGTGCGTCCGCGCGCGCTCGGAGATCGCGACAAAGAAGGTTGGTTTTCTAGGTCCCGCCGTTGTCCGCCAGAAGTCCGCCCGGAGTCCGCGAGATTTGACCGTAAAGCTAGCTAAGTATTGGGCGGCGTCCGCCAGTTGTCCGCGGCGTTTTGAAAGTTTTTCTTGTTTTTTTGATCTTTTTTGTTGCAGCTCTCTCGGCTCTGACGGGTATATTTGTAGAAGACGGTCGCTGTCGCGCCAATGTCCACGCAGGAGACGCAGGGGACCCCCGCGCCCGCGACTTGCGCCCTATGCCAGCGCTCAAACGTAGCTGGTCGCGGACATGGGCTTTGCCTGCATTAGTGAAAAAGATGTGAGTTTTTCCGCTGTTTTCTGACATCTGAAACGTTGAAATCAATCGAACGCAAGATTCGACGGAGTAAGATATGCTGAACTTAAACGCCTCCACCGTAACTTCAACTAACTTCTGTTTAACATCACGTGTGAATTCACGCTTAACTGCAGTTACGATAACGGCCCTCTCCGTATATTTTACACGGAATCGCAAGTAGACCACCGAACAGGGGCGCTCCAGAGAGCACCGCGCCAGGAAAATCGAGAAAGCCTAAAACATTCAACGCTTCATGTTGTGCTCCGATCTTGATCTACTCCACGTTGGGAGCGAACGATGTGAGCATGTCCAGTTGAGCGAGGTACAGGCTGGGGGATAAGAGCGCCGCAAGAGGAGAAGCAAGAAAGCTGCAAGCGTTCAACACTTCATGCTGTGCTCCGATCTTGATCTCAGTCGCAGTGATACCAGCTCCACGAAACTACAAGCTTTCAACTATAGGTGCTCCGCTATTTTTCCTCCCAGCCCTACTCTCTATAGGGCTTCGCATTGATGCACGATACCCGAAACACATTTCAACACAACAACAAGAACCATTTCGGGCATCATTCTCCTGGTGTTCACTGGCGTTTATTTTTGCACGGATTCTCAAATAGAACACCAACAAGGGACGCTCCAGAAGGCGCCCCGCCAAGCAAATCAAGAATACTAAAAACATTCAACACTTCATGCTGCGCTCCGATCTTCATCTACGTCGCAGTGATACCAGCTCCACGAAAACTACAACCATTCAAGAAGGAGTGCTCTCCTCTTTTTTCTCCCAGCCCTGCTCTTTTATAGGGCTTTGCATTGATGCACGATGCCCGAAACACATTTCAAAACAACCAAAACCACCTTTCGGGCATCCTTCTCCTGGTCTTCACTGACGTTTATTTTTACATGGATTCTCAAGTAGACCACCAAGCAGGGACGCTCCAGAGAACACCGCGCCAGGAAAATCGAGAAAGCCTAAAACATTCAACACTTCATGCTGTGCTCCGATCTTGATCTACTCCACGTTGATACAAGCTCCACGAAAGCTGCAGGCATTCAACAATAAGTGTTCCGCTATTGTTTCCCCCTAGTCTTGCACTACCATATTGGTCTCTCGCTGGCTTTCGTCCTCTCCTTTCTCAGGTATATATATACACACACACATATTGCGCATACAATACGACCCCGTTAGTTTCAGATGGTTCAAGGCGATTCGGCGGGTAGAGGCCCCAAGTACGCAATCAGGGGACCAAGTGCTTTGGTCCCTTTCCCTCCTTCTGTGCTTTGGGCTGACCAGTGTCATTTGGATTCTGAGAGTTTTGACGAGCACTTAGCTCCCCCACGGAGCACTGGCAACATGATGTAGTAGCTGCTATGGTATGCCGAAGAACAACTCAGAAACTGCCCAAAGGAAGTGGTTTCTGACCCTGCATGATGGGTATGCTGTAGGCTGCAGCCCAGCCAGGTCGCACTTGCAACTGGATAGTATAAGGGGTTTCGAAGGAGTCGGTCTTTGCTCATTTGGTTAAGGTGTGTTAATTATGTAATTCACAAAACGCGAATCTTCACATACACAATTGTGTATTTATATAGCATATACATGTCGAACATCTTTATAATTGGCACTCCGGAGATTACACCTGAATATGAAAGTCGCATTCTTATTTTGTCCGCTTGGAGGCAGCTTCTGGTACAGTCAATGCATGATATTGTTCAATTGATTTTTCCCGAAAGCATTGCGAAGGGTTCTTCCGGAAAATCCTTTGAACACTGACACTTCGCCACTTACACTTCGACACTTACACTTACACACACACACTGGAAGAGCGAAAGCGTCCAAGTGCGAAGTATGCCAGTGTCAAAGTATGCAAGTCTAATGATGAGCATGCAAGCATGCAAGGAGTATGCAAGCATGCAATGAGTATGCAAGTGTGATGAGTGAACTCACGCAATGAGTGACTAGCACGGGAGATGTCCTAATGAAACACATTTCCCCACTTTATAAATTCTCTCTTGAAGGCGGAGGGTGGGACGAACAGCGTCAACCGAAAATGCAACCCTCTGCGGAGATCGTGCGTGTCGAGTGCGCGAAATGCAGGCGAGAGTGCGATTTGCCCGGTGCGCGCGCAAACCTCTGCGGAGATCATGCGTGTCGAGTGCGCGAAATGCAGGCGAGAGCGCGATTCGTCCGGTGTGCGCGCAACCCTCTGCGGAGATCGTGCGTGTCGAGTGCGCGCCCTAAGGCTCC